GATAAAGAATGCTAATATAGATATAAAATCGATATTTTTTTTGAAAATAGCCTACTATGATCGAAACCAAAAATGCTTTAAATTGCATTTTAAAACATATCTAGGCATTATAAATGATGAAAAATGCTAATATAGATATAAAATCGATATTTTTTTTGAAAATAGCCTACTATGATCGAAACCAAAAATACTTTAAATTGCATTTTAAAACACATCTAGGCATTATAAATGATAAAGAATGCTAATATAGATATAAAATCGATATTTTTTTTGAAAATAGCCTACTATGATCGAAACCAAAAATGCTTTAAATTGCATTTTAAAACATATTTAGGCATTATAAATGATAACGAATGCTAATATAGATATAAAATCGATAATTTTTTTTGAAAAAAGCCTACTATGATCAAAACCAAAAATGCTTTAAATTGCATTTTAAAACACATCTAGGCATTATAAATGATAAAGAATGCTAATATAGATATAAAATCGATAATTTTTTTTGAAAAAAGCCTACTATGATCAAAACCAAAAATGCTTTAAATTGCATTTTAAAACATATCTAGGCATTATAAATGATAAAGAATGCTAATATAGATATAAAATCGATAATTTTTTTTGAAAAAAGCCTACAATGATCGAAACCAAAAATGCTTTAAATTGCATTTTAAAACATATCTAGGCATTATAAATGATAAAGAATGCTAATATAGATATAAAATCGATAATTTTTTTTGAAAAAAGCCTACTATGATCAAAACCAAAAATGCTTTAAATTGCATTTTAAAACATATCTAGGCATTATAAATGATAAAGAATGCTAATATAGATATAAAATCGATAATTTTTTTTGAAAAAAGCCTACTATGATCAAAACCAAAAATGCTTTAAATTGCATTTTAAAACATATCTAGGCATTATAAATGATAAAGAATGCTAATATAGATATAAAATCGTTAATTTTTTTTGAAAAAAGCCTACTATGATCAAAACCAAAAATGCTTTAAATTGCATTTTAAAACATATCTAGGCATTATAAATGATAAAGAATGCTAATATAGATATAAAATCGATATTTTTTTTGAAAATAGCCTACTATGATCGAAACCAAAAATGCTTTAAATTGCATTTTAAAACATATCTAGGCATTATAAATGATGAAAAATGCTAATATAGATATAAAATCGATATTTTTTTTGAAAATAGCCTACTATGATCGAAACCAAAAATACTTTAAATTGCATTTTAAAACACATCTAGGCATTATAAATGATAAAGAATGCTAATATAGATATAAAATCGATATTTTTTTTGAAAATAGCCTACTATGATCGAAACCAAAAATGCTTTAAATTGCATTTTAAAACATATTTAGGCATTATAAATGATAACGAATGCTAATATAGATATAAAATCGATAATTTTTTTTGAAAAAAGCCTACTATGATCAAAACCAAAAATGCTTTAAATTGCATTTTAAAACACATCTAGGCATTATAAATGATAAAGAATGCTAATATAGATATAAAATCGATAATTTTTTTTGAAAAAAGCCTACTATGATCAAAACCAAAAATGCTTTAAATTGCATTTTAAAACATATCTAGGCATTATAAATGATAAAGAATGCTAATATAGATATAAAATCGTTAATTTTTTTTGAAAATAGCCTACTATGATCGAAACCAAAAATGCTTTAAATTGCATTTTAAAACATATCTAGGCATTATAAATGATAAAGAATGCTAATATAGATATAAAATCGATAATTTTTTTTGAAAAAAGCCTACTATGATCAAAACCAAAAATGCTTTAAATTGCATTTTAAAACACATATAGGCATTATAAATGATAAAGAATGCTAATATAGATATAAAATCGATAATTTTTTTTGAAAATAGCCTACAATGATCGAAAACAAAAATGCTTTAAATTGCATTTTAAAACATATCTAGGCATTATAAATGATAAAGAATGCTAATATAGATATAAAATCGATAATTTTTTTTGAAAAAAGCCTACTATGATCAAAACCAAAAATGCTTTAAATTGCATTTTAAAACACATCTTGGCATTATAAATGATAAAGAATGCTAATATAGATATAAAATCGATAATTTTTTTTGAAAAAAGCCTACTATGATCAAAACCAAAAATGCTTTAAATTGCATTTTAAAACACATCTAGGCATTATAAATGATAAAGAATGCTAATATAGATATAAAATCGATAATTTTTTTTGAAAATAGCCTACAATGATCGAAAACAAAAATGCTTTAAATTGCATTTTAAAACATATCTAGGCATTATAAATGATAAGGAATGCTAATATAGATATAAAATCGATAATTTTTTTTGAAAATAGCCTACTATGATCGAAACCAAAAATGCTTTAAATTGCATTTTAAAACATATCTAGGCATTATAAATGATAAAGAATGCTAATATAGATATAAAATCGATAATTTTTTTTGAAAAAAGCCTACTATGATGAAAACCAAAAATGCTTTAAATTGCATTTTAAAACACATCTAGGCATTATAAATGATAAAGAATGCTAATATAGATATAAAATCGTTAATTTTTTAGCGCATTTTCCTATCAGGAAATGACGCTATTGTCCGCACTATGTCTGTCTGTCCGTCTGTCTGTCTGTCTGTCTGTCTGTCTGTAATGCTATCTCCTCCTCCAGTTTAATCTTTTTTGATGTGGTTTTTTGCTTATAATATTTGTGCTATTCCTGGCTAGCAGTGACCAAAATTTCAGCGTGATTGAAGCACAGGAAGGTTAATTAAATTAACTTTTAAAATTTTTTGCCTACAAAGTCACGTGATTATTTTGGGCGAAGTCACTAAAAAGGTGACTTTTTTTACAATCCTCAGGTCGCTGGTTCAAGCCTCACAACGAGCAACTTTTTTTTTTCATTCTTTTTTACACTTTTTTGATATATTATTGTTTTTTATGATGTTTGGTAATAAAATTTTCCATTTTCAAAATTTTCCAGGCATTTTCCGAGTTTTTCTTGAAGATTTATACTTTTTTCCATACATTTTTCAAGCAAATTTAACTTTTTTGCCATAACTGTTACTTGTTTTGACTTTATGAGCTGACATTTAGCATGGATGCTCATTGGCTGTTCCTGAATGTGGAACCGACGCCATTTTGAATCAAGAGGAGTGGAAACCTAAATAATAATTAATTCAGCTTGCGTTTGACCGTTATTTTAAAATTCAGAAAAAAATATTATAATCCATGAAAAAATTACGCAATTTATTAACATGGATTAGTTCAGTTTAAAAAAAGGACTGCGAGTTGATAATTAAATAAAATGTGAAAAATCAGTGATTAAGAGGTAATTATTGTGTAAATAATAGTGAAAAACATTGATAAGTTTAAAGCACATAAGAAACAGTTCGAAACCATACAGTAATTGGCATATTTTATGAAAATTTATGAAATTTCATATTTCAATTTTGGTGAGTGAATTTTTTTACTGCAATTTGGCATGAAAAAGGTTAATTCGGCACTTTGGAAAGAAGAATTAAGTTAATTCCAGAGATCGAAGCCGATTTTTTCGGCTTAACTCAATTTTTGATTTTTTTGATAGAAAAAAGCCATTTGACACCCATTTCAAGTATTTAAATTGAACTTTACATGCTTTACTATGATTCTGTGTAATATTTTGTCAGCATGTAGCTATAGTGAGCTCAGAATTTCAAGTTAAATAATGTTAAGCCGAAATTTAAGCCGATCGGCTTAAAATCGGCTAAATTGAAATTCTGAGCTCACTATAGCTACATGCTGACAAAATATTACACAGAATCATAGTAAAGCATGTAAAGTTCAATTTAAATACTTGAAATGGGTGTCAAATGGCTTTTTTCTATCAAAAAAATCAAAAATTGAGTTAAGCCGAAAAAATCGGCTTCGATCTCTGGTTAATTCATTTGTTTCGAACTATAATGTTCATTAAAATAGTCAAAAACAAGTATTTCAAAGAAAATTTTAACGAAAATTCTAAATTCAAATAGAAAATTTATTCCAATCCATGAAAAAATTACATATTCAATATACATGGATTAGTTTTGTGTACAAAAAGCATTGTAAATTGAAAATTAAATAAAATGTGAAAAATCAGTGATTAAGAGGTAATTATTGTGTAAATAATAGTGAAAAACATTGATAAGTTTAAAGCACATAAGAAACAGTTCGAAACCATACAGTAATTGGCATATTTTATGAAAAGTTATGAAATTTCATATTTCAATTTTGGTGAGTGAATTTTTTTACTGCAATTTGGCATGAAAAAGGTTAATTCGGCACTTTGGAAAGAAGAATTAAGTTAATTCATTTGTTTCGAACTATAATGTTCATTAAAATAGTCAAAAACAAGTATTTCAAAGAAAATTTTAACGAAAATTCTAAATTCAAATAGAAAATTTATTCCAATCCATGAAAAAATTACATATTCAATATACATGGATTGGTTTTGTGTACAAAAAGCATTGTAAATTGAAAATTAAATAAAATGTGAAAAATCAGTGATTAAGAGGTAATTATTGTGTAAATAATAGTGAAAAACATTGATAAGTTTAAAGCACATAAGAAACAGTTCGAAACCATACAGTAATTGGCATATTTTATGAAAAGTTATGAAATTTCATATTTCAATTTTGGTGAGTGAATTTTTTTACTGCAATTTGGCATGAAAAAGGTTAATTCGGCACTTTGGAAAGAAGAATTAAATTAATTCATTTGTTTCGAACTATAATGTTCATTAAAATAGTCAAAAACAAGTATTTCAAAGAAAATTTTAACGAAAATTCTAAATTCAAATAGAAAATTTATTCCAATCCATGAAAAAATTACATATTCAATATACATGGAGTAGTTCTGTTTACAAAAAGTATTGTGAATCGAAAATTTAATAAAGAGAAAATTCAGTAAAAAAGTCAATTGATAGTGATATCTTTAGTTTTTAATTATTAATTATTTCTTCTGATAGAGTATTAATGAATCTTAATTAACTTTTTCAAAAAGGATTCTTAGCTAATTTTTTGTTTTCGACACTTCGGTCTGGCTATTTTGATATCATATTCAATATTTAGATACATTAAATAAGGTAAATAAAACAAGTTTCATCATTTTCAAATTCCAGACAATTAATTTTCTTTTTTTTATTACAATTCTTAATTTATCAGATGCCTAAAAAACCATCTCGTCCTGTATCAGCGGAAACAAAGCGAAAACAAAATAAAGAAAAAGTAGCACAAATACGATCTGATACAAACTACAGAAATGAAGAAAGGGTAATATAAAGAACATTATTGTTGAAAATAAAAATAAAATTTTATTTTCATTTTTAAGGAACGAGATAAGGAAGCCAAACGATGCAAAAGAAGTGATTCAGCAGTTCGTGCAAGCGAACAAGCGCAAGACACAGCTGCTCGACAAGTTCGAAGAAGTAATCCAACAGTTCGTGCAAATGAACAAGCACAAGACACAGCTGCTCGACAAATTCGAAGAAGTAATCCAACAGTTCGTGCAAATGAACAAGCACAAGACACAGCTGCTCGACAAATTCGAAGAAGTAATCCAACAGTTCGTGCAAATGAACAAGCACAAGACACAGCTGCTCGACAAATTCGAAGAAGTAATCCAACAGTTCGTGCAAGCGAACAAGCGCAAGACACAGCTGCTCGACAAGTTCGAAGAAGTAATCCAACAGTTCGTGCAAATGAACAAGCACAAGACACAGCTGCTCGACAAATCCGGAGAAACGATCCAACAGTTCGTGCAAATGAACAAGCACAAAATACAGCTGCTCGACAGGTCCGAAGAAACGATCCAGCAGTTCGGGCAAGTGAACAAGCACAAGACACAGCTGCTCGACAGGTCCGAAGAAACGATCCAGCAGTTCGTGCAAGTGAACAAGTACAAGACACAGCTGCTCGACGCGTAAAGCGAAATCAAATTTTATCGTGGATTGAAGTCATGGAGCAATACTTTGAATGCATCAAGGAAGGTCCAACATACAACTGTTACAGCTGTGATCGTCTCTGGTTCAAAAAACTTAAAAATTGTGGATGTACTGATACATTCATTGAGGAAGTTTTGCTGGAAGAATTTGTGAATGAAAAAGTTTATCAGTTTTGTTCAACCTGTTACACAAACATCAGAGCAAAGAAGTATCCACGTTTCAACATAAATAAATCACTTTTGGCATTTCCAAAACTTCCTGATATCATTACAAGTTTAACTCCACTTGAGGAGCGATTGGTTGCAACAAGAATCCCTTTTATGAAAATATTCGCTCTTGGTGTTGATCGTCAATTCGGACTGAAAAGCGGAGTAATCAATATACCTGTTGATGTTCCAAAAATGTTCAAGACGATCCCCATCAAACCAGAACAATCAGGAGTAATTCATCTAAAGCTAAAGAGACGAATTGGAATGCAGAATCATTATCTATATGAGAGAATTCGTCCAGCAGTTGTTTACGAAGCAGGAAAAATTCTAGTACAAACACCCTTGTACATAAAAGAAGGAATCAATCTTGATGAAAGCTGGCAAGTTGGAGCAAATGACATTTTCAACTCGGATTCAAATGAAGGTAAGAAATGCCAGCAATGAAATTTCTTTTCAATTTTTAATTTAAAATCTTTATTTTCTAGCTCCAATGGATGAAGATACAGAGAACCAATCAGATCCAGAATCAGAGACACAAAGAGCTGATGAAGAAGTGAACCAACTTTATGAAGAAACTCTCTTAGATGCGAACGAAGCAATTGAATTTGCTCCAGGTAAGTAAATTGTTTTAACTTTTAATTACTGCATTTTGGCATGAAATTTTAAAACACTGCATTTTGGCATGAAATTTTAATCACTGTACTTTGGCAAGAAACTATACACTGCATTTTGGGAAAAAAAATTTTAAATCACAGATCAAATCAATATACTAATAATTTATAATCTTTACAGGTGAAGGACAGATTCCAGTATCTATATTAACAGATATCAATTGTGAAGAATTATCATTTCCAACAATTTACTTTGGCCATGAACGAGTACATTCACCAAACGTCAAGCTATCATATGAAGACCATGTAAACAGCGAAATTCGGCGACGTGATCGTCGTGCAGTGAGAGCAGATCATTTATTATTTATGCACAAGAAGTCACAACTAAAACAGCTATGCAGCAATGTTAATATTGCTTTGAAGAAATGTGCACAATCTTCAAGCGTCACAGCATCACAAATTTTAAACTCGAATTTCGTCGATGAAAGCATTTCTAAAGATAATGCATATAGATTCCTAACAAATATAACTGGATCTCCTGCATATTGGGAGCAACAAAAAAAGAACGTTATGGCAATGGTGCGTCAATTAGGAGTGTTTACATTATTCGTCACTCTATCAGCTGCAGAAACACATTGGAAAGAGCTATTACGTATTCTCAAGAAAACTGTGGATAATGAAGATGATGCTGATGTCACAGAAATGGACTTTGAAGAAAAATCTCGACTGATACGAACGGATCCAGTGACTTGCTCTTTATATTTTGATCACAAATTTAAAGAATTATTTAAAACATTAAAAAATACTAACGAAGGACCATTTGGAAAGTACAAAATTCTTCAGCATTATTATCGCATTGAGTTTCAACATCGCGGATCACCTCATGTGCATATGATTTTATGGCTTAATGATGCACCCACTTTTGATGCTGATAAACCACATTTATTTCATCACATTGAAGAATTTATAGATAATATAATAAGTACAAGTTCTGATGATCCTAATGTCCAAGATTTTGTTAAATATCAATATCATAAATGTTCTCGGACTTGCAAAAAGAAGACGAGAGGAAACACAAGCTGCAGATTTGGAGCTCCATTCATTCCGATGGACAAAACAAGAATTCTTCAACCACTGTCATCTGATTATGTTTACAGTAACGGTGAACAAGATGAATATCACACAATCGTTAAGAATCTGAATGAACTTCTTTCGGGTGATTTAAATACGATTGGAACATTTGAAGAACTGCTTGTAAAACTTAATTGTGACAGAGACAAATACATAAAAACGATTCGAAGTCAACTTAAAGCAACAAAAATCTTAATCAGACGTGCTCCAAAAGATGCCAGAGTCAATCCATATGCAAGTAAAATTTTGATGTTGATGCAATCAAACATCGATGTACAGTTTGTCTTAGATCCATATGCATGTATTGGATACATAGTTGAATATATTAACAAACCAAGTCGAGGAATTTCAAGATTACTACGTGCATGTGTTGAGGAGTTTAGATCTGGAAATTATTCATTGAGAGAGAAAATCAAAAAACTTTCTTACACATACTATAACGGAACTGAAATTTCTGCTCAAGAAGCAGCTTGGTGTCGTTTAAGACTTCCTATGTCACATAGTAGTTCAGTAGTTGAATTCATCAATACAGGACCGATGAAGGTAAGGAATTTTATTATATACATATTTAAAAAAAAAGCTTAATTAAAATTTTTAATTATTTCAGACAAGACATCGAATATTGAAGTCGCAATCTCAGATTAAGAAGCTCCCAGAAAATAGTACAGATGTTTACAAAAAGGGTTCAATAGACCGATATAAGGAACGACCAGAAGCATTAAAAGATGTATGCTTAGCAGACTTCATTGCTAAATTTTCATACAAAGGAAAGAAATCAAACAACGAAATTGACAATGAAAATGTTGAACAAGACGACCATTTGGTGGAATCAATTGACAATAATCAGAACGAAGAAGATGAAAGTGGAGAATTCACTGAAGTGTATGAGGATGAAAGTGGAGAATTCACTGAAGTGTATGAGGTTGAAGGTGGAACAGTAAGAAAGAGAAAGCAAATTAAAATCATCAGATTCTGCCGTTATGATTTTCACAAAGACCCTAACAATTTCTATCGCGAAAGATTAATGCTGTTCAAACCTTGGCGAGATGAATCGTTGGAACTTGAAAAAGATAACCTGAACCTTGCAGAAATTTACACACTAAATAAACAACTAATAGAGTCAAATAGTTCTCGATACATTAAACTTGACATAGATTTAAATGACATTGCACGAAACATTGAAGAAGAACAAGCTCGCGATGAAGATGAGTCAAATGATCAAAATGAAGATCAAGATCAAGAACAGCATTTGAATGTCTATGATTTTGACGATAACATACTTCAGTCTAATGAAACGTTTGGAATAGAATCAGTGAATACAACAGATCATACAAACTCAATGGAAAAGAATAAAATTACAGTTCCAGATCTAGTTTCGGATCAAGAATATTATGAGTTGGTCAACTCTTTAAACACAAAGCAAAATGATCATTTAATGCATGTCTTAAATGCATTCAAACTAAATGAATTGCCATTGTATCATTTTGTATCGGGTGAAGCAGGCGTTGGCAAGAGCAGACTAATCAAAGCTGTATATCAAACACTTATGAGGCATTTCAATCGTGAACCTGGACCTATAGATACTCCAGAAATTCTTATAATTGCATACACTGGAAAGGCAGCTCACAATGTCAATGGATTAACAGCACATGCAGCATTTAGTTTGGTATTGGTAGAACAGGGAACAAAAAAGTCTGATAGTCTTTCACCAGAAGTATTGAATACACTGAGAGTCAAATTAAAGAATCTAAAGCTAATTATCATTGATGAAATATCAATGATGGGAATCACAACATTTGAAAAAATCAATAAAAGATTGATGCAAGTATTCCAGTCAAAAAAGGAGTTTGGAGGTCGATCCGTCATCACATTAGGTGATTTCCAGCAGCTGCAACCAGTTCGAGACAACTTTGTATTTGCACGAGGAAAAAATGATGTGGATAGTTTGTTCGGAAATTCACTTTGGGATAAATTTAAACATTTTGAACTTACTGAAATTATGCGTCAAAAAGATGATCTAATTTTCGCACAACTGTTGGGTCGACTAGCAAAAGGTGCATTGACACAAAGTGACATTGATTTAATTAATACACGAATCTTTGTTGAATATCCACATCAATTGAAACCCGGTGACAAACTCCTGCCAGCGAAAGGAAAAGATGCTTGCCGACTAATATGGCAAAATAAAGAGGTTGATTCACACAATCTTCAAAGAATTATGGAACTACGAAGACCTGAAACAGTAAACATAAGATTCCGTGCTATCGATAACATCATCGGTGCTACATCTGAGACAGACAAAAGACAAGTGCGATTTAGCTTGCAACAATTGAGTCATCGTGAAACACAGGGCCTTGCAACAGAATTAGTGTTACAAAAAGGAATTAGATATATGATTACATCTAACATTGACGTCACAGACGGACTATATAATGGAGGTACTGGAGAGCTAATGTTTATGGAGTTTAGAAACAGTAAGTTTTTTTTAACATTTTTTTTAAATTAATTTAAAATTTTGATTGACTTTTTACTTTCTTAGGAGAACTAGATGCTGTTTATTTAAAATTTGATGATCCCACAATAGGCAGAAAGGCACGTGCAGCAAGACGTGCAATTATGGCTGGAACCTCTGCCATTGATGACTCTTGGACGCCCATCACAAGAATAAAACTGAATTTTCGAGTCAATAAGTGTTCAGCTCAGGTAACAATAAAATTTTAAATTAGAATAACTAGAGATTACAATGTTTTTACGTTCATTAGGTCTTTCGTGAGCAATATCCAATTGTCCCAGCAGAAGCAATCTCAATCCACAAGTCCCAAGGATCAACGTTAGAGAATGTAACAATTCTCTTAGTACCACGCATGTCCAGATCACTTATATATGTTGCATGTTCGCGTGCCAAAACGCTGGATGGACTATATTTAATTGGTAAATTCAAATCACCAACTCCACCTCGGGATGATCATCCAGTTGTATTAGAAATGAAGCGACTTAGAGAAACAGCTCAGCTTATTCCAAAATTTCAGCATCTTAAGTCAATACCAGCAAATGAGATTCAAATAGTATCATTTAACGTTCAATCAATTCGCAAACACATTAATTCCATCAAAAGTGATGATGTTTTCATGATGAGTCACATCTTGTTGCTGCAAGAAGTATGGGCAATGACAAACGAAAGATTTGATTTACCTAATAAGGAAGTAATTCAAAGAAATGACATTAATATTCGACCACAACCACGAGGAACAATGATTTTTACTGAAGTCAGTCAGATGGCTCAGCCTCTTCAAAAATTCTGCTTCGAAAAGAACGTAGAACGAATCGAAATAACGTCATGCATAATCTCTAATATTACTCTTGTTAATATTTACAAGAATCCCAAGACGACACTAGACTTTTTCAAAGAATCTATCACGAGCATTACACATTTACTTGACTGCGATAATATATTGATCTGTGGAGATTTCAATGAGGACATGTCGAAGACAAGAAGTATTATTGACTTTTTGAAGACCAAGAATTTACACATGCTGTCTAAGATTGAACCAACAACTAATGCAGGAACAACAATTGATGCAATTTTTGGACGATTAAAGGATTTTTCTTTTCAATGCACAATCTATGAGAGCTTCTTTAGTCACCACAAACCTATTGTAATTCGTATCAAACCAGACTTTGCCGAGTACATGGAAATTAGAGAACAACCAACAAATAACATAAATTTTAACTTTATGAATAAAAATATATGATGAACAGTGAAATTTTGTTTTATTTTCATGAAAATATGATGAACATTCAATCTAAAGATTTGAATATATATTTGTATACTATTTACGAATTCTGTGCGGGGAAAATGCGCTTCGGTCGGTCACGAGTGACCACCTCTTTACTAGTTTTGAAAATAGCCTACTTTGATCGAAACCAAAAATGCTTTAAATTGCATTTTAAAACACATCTAGGCATTATAAATGATAAAGAATGCTAATATAGATATAAAATCGATAATTTTTTTTGAAAAAAGCCTACTTTGATCAAAACCAAAAATGCTTTAAATTGCATTTTAAAACACATCTAGGCATTATAAATGATAAAGAATGCTAATATAGATATAAAATCGTTAATTTTTTTTGAAAATAGCCTACTTTGATCGAAACCAAAAATGCTTTAAATTGCATTTTAAAACATATCTAGGCATTATAAATGATAAAGAATGCTAATATAGATATAAAATCGATAATTTTTTTTGAAAATAGCCTACTAAGATCGAAACCAAAAATGCTTTAAATTGCATTTTAAAACATATCAAGGCATTATAAATGATGAAAAATGCTAATATAGATATAAAATCGATATTTTTTTTGAAAATAGCCTACTATGATCGAAACCAAAAATACTTTAAATTGCATTTTAAAACACATCTAGGCATTATAAATGATAAAGAATGCTAATATAGATATAAAATCGATATTTTTTTTGAAAATAGCCTACTATGATCGAAATCAAAAATGCTTTAAATTGCATTTTAAAACATATTTAGGCATTATAAATGATAACGAATGCTAATATAGATATAAAATCGATAATTTTTTTTGAAAAAAGCCTACTATGATCAAAACCAAAAATGCTTTAAATTGCATTTTAAAACACATCTAGGCATTATAAATGATAAAGAATGCTAATATAGATATAAAATCGATAATTTTTTTTGAAAAAAGCCTACTATGATCAAAACCAAAAATGCTTTAAATTGCATTTTAAAACATATCTAGGCATTATAAATGATAAAGAATGCTAATATAGATATAAAATCGTTAATTTTTTTTGAAAATAGCCTACTATGATCGAAACCAAAAATGCTTTAAATTGCATTTTAAAACATATCTAGGCATTATAAATGATAAAGAATGCTAATATAGATATAAAATCGATAATTTTTTTTGAAAAAAGCCTACTATGATGAAAACCAAAAATGCTTTAAATTGCATTTTAAAACACATCTAGGCATTATAAATGATAAAGAATGCTAATATAGATATAAAATCGTTAATTTTTTTTGAAAATAGCCTACTATGATCGAAACCAAAAATGCTTTAAATTGCATTTTAAAACATATCTAGGCATTATAAATGATAAAGAATGCTAATATAGATATAAAATCGATAATTTTTTTTGAAAAAAGCCTACTATGATCAAAACCAAAAATGCTTTAAATTGCATTTTAAAACACATCTAGGCATTATAAATGATAAAGAATGCTAATATAGATATAAAATCGATAATTTTTTTTGAAAATAGCCTACAATGATCGAAAACAAAAATGCTTTAAATTGCATTTTAAAACATATCTAGGCATTATAAATGATAAAGAATGCTAATATAGATATAAAATCGATAATTTTTTTTGAAAAAAGCCTACTATGATCAAAACCAAAAATGCTTTAAATTGCATTTTAAAACACATCTTGGCATTATAAATGATAAAGAATGCTAATATAGATATAAAATCGATAATTTTTTTTGAAAAAAGCCTACTATGATCAAAACCAAAAATGCTTTAAATTGCATTTTAAAACATATCTAGGCATTATAAATGATAAAGAATGCTAATATAGATATAAAATCGATAATTTTTTTTGAAAAAAGCCTACTATGATGAAAACCAAAAATGCTTTAAATTGCATTTTAAAACACATCTAGGCATTATAAATGATAAAGAATGCTAATATAGATATAAAATCGATAATTTTTTTTGAAAATAGCCTACTATGATCGAAACCAAAAATGCTTTAAATTGCATTTTAAAACATATCTAGGCATTATAAATGATAAAGAATGCTAATATAGATATAAAATCGATAATTTTTTTTGAAAAAAGCCTACTATGACGAAAACCAAAAATGCTTTAAATTGCATTTTAAAACATATCTAGGCATTATAAATGATAAAGAATGCTAATATAGATATAAAATCGATAATTTTTTTTGAAAAAAGCCTACTATGATGAAAACCAAAAATGCTTTAAATTGCATTTTAAAACACATCTAGGCATTATAAATGATAAAGAATGCTAATATAGATATAAAATCGTTAATTTTTTTTGAAAATAGCCTACTTTGATCGAAACCAAAAATGCTTTAAATTGCATTTTAAAACATATCTAGGCATTATAAATGATAAAGAATGCTAATATAGATATAAAATCGATAATTTTTTTTGAAAAAAGCTTACTATGATGAAAACCAAAAATGCTTTAAATTGCATTTTAAAACACATCTAGGCATTATAAATGATAAAGAATGCTAATATAGATATAAAATCGTTAATTTTTTTTGAAAATAGCCTACTTTGATCGAAACCAAAAATGCTTTAAATTGCATTTTAAAACATATCTAGGCATTATAAATGATAAAGAATGCTAATATAGATATAAAATCGATAATTTTTTTTGAAAAAAGCCTACTATGATGAAAACCAAAAATGCTTTAAATTGCATTTTAAAACACATCTTGGCATTATAAATGATAAAGAATGCTAATATAGATATAAAATCGTTAATTTTTTTTGAAAATAGCCTACAATGATCGAAAACAAAAATGCTTTAAATTGCATTTTAAAACATATCTAGGCATTATAAATGATAAAGAATGCTAATATAGATATAAAATCGATAATTTTTTTTGAAAAAAGCCTACTATGATCAAAACCAAAAATGCTTTAAATTGCATTTTAAAACACATCTTGGCATTATAAATGATAAAGAATGCTAATATAGATATAAAATCGTTAATTTTTTTTGAAAATAGCCTACTATGATCAAAACCAAAAATGCTTTAAATTGCATTTTAAAACATATCTAGGCATTATAAATGATAAAGAATGCTAATATAGATATAAAATCGATAATTTTTTTTGAAAAAAGCCTACTATGATCAAAACCAAAAATGCTTTAAATTGCATTTTAAAACACATCTTGGCATTATAAATGATAAAGAATGCTAATATAGATATAAAATCGATAATTTTTTTTTAAAAAAGCCTACTATGATCAAAACCAAAAATGCTTTAAATTGCATTTTAAAACATATCTAGGCATTATAAATGATAAAGAATGCTAATATAGATATAAAATCGATAATTTTTTTTGAAAAAAGCCTACTATGATGAAAACCAAAAATGCTTTAAATTGCATTTTAAAACACATCTAGGCATTATAAATGATAAAGAATGCTAATATAGATATAAAATCGTTAATTTTTTTTGAAAATAGCCTACTATGATCGAAACCAAAAATGCTTTAAATTGCATTTTAAAACATATCTAGGCATTATAAATGATAAAGAATGCTAATATAGATATAAAATCGATAATTTTTTTTGAAAAAAGCCTACTATGATCAAAACCAAAAATGCTTTAAATTGCATTTTAAAACACATCTAGGCATTATAAATGATAAAGAATGCTAATATAGATATAAAATCGATAATTTTTTTTGAAAATAGCCTACAATGATCGAAAACAAAAATGCTTTAAATTGCATTTTAAAACATATCTAGGCATTATAAATGATAAAGAATGCTAATATAGATATAAAATCGATAATTTTTTTTGAAAATAGCCTACAATGATCGAAAACAAAAATGCTTTAAATTGCATTTTAAAACATATCTAGGCATTATAAATGATAAAGAATGCTAATATAGATATAAAATCGATAATTTCTTTTGAAAAAAGCCTACTATGATCAAAACCAAAAATGCTTTAAATTGCATTTTAAAACATATCTAGGCATTATAAATGATAAAGAATGCTAATATAGATATAAAATCGATATTTTTTTTGAAAATAGCCTACTATGATCGAAACCAAAAATGCTTTAAATTGCATTTGAAAACATATTTAGGCATTATAAATGATAACGAATGCTAATATAGATATAAAATCGATAATTTTTTTTGAAAAAAGCCTACTATGATCAAAACCAAAAATGCTTTAAATTGCATTTTAAAACACATCTAGGCATTATAAATGATAAAGAATGCTAATATAGATATAAAATCGTTAATTTTTTTTGAAAATAGCCTACTATGATCGAAACCAAAAATGCTTTAAATTGCATTTTAAAACATATCTAGGCATTATAAATGATAAAGAATGCTAATATAGATATAAAATCGATAATTTTTTTTGAAAAAAGCCTACTATGATGAAAACCAAAAATGCTTTAAATTGCATTTTAAAACACATCTAGGCATTATAAATGATAAAGAATGCTAATATAGATATAAAATCGATAATTTTTTTTGAAAAAAGCCTACTATGATCAAAACCAAAAATGCTTTAAATTGCATTTTAAAACATATCTAGGCATTATAAATGATAAAGAATGCTAATATAGATATAAAATCGTTATTTTTTTTTGAAAATAGCCTACTATGATCGAAACCAAAAATGCTTTAAATTGCATTTTAAAACATATCTAGGCATTATAAATGATAAAGAATGCTAATATTGATATAAAATCGATAATTTTTTTTGAAAAAAGCCTACTATGATCAAAACCAAAAATGCTTTAAATTGCATTTTAAAACACATCTAGGCATTATAAATGATAAAGAATGCTAATATAGATATAAAATCGATAATTTTTTTTGAAAAAAGCCTACTATGATCAAAACCAAAAATGCTTTAAATTGCATTTTAAAACATATCTAGGCATTATAAATGATTAAGAATGCTAATATAGATATAAAATTGTTAATTTTTTTTGAAAATAGCCTACTATGATCGAAACCAAAAATGCTTTAAATTGCATTTTAAAACATATCTAGGCATTATAAATGATAAAGAATGCTAATATAGATATAAAATCGATAATTTTTTTTGAAAAAAGCCTACTATGATCAAAATCAAAAATGCTTTAAATTGCATTTTAAAACACATCTAGGCATTATAAATGATAAAGAATGCTAATATAGATATAAAATCGATAATTTTTTTTGAAAATAGCCTACAATGATCGAAAACAAAAATGCTTTAAATTGCTTTTTAAAACACATCTAGGCATTATAAATGATAAAGAATGCTAATATAGATATAAAATCGATAATCTTTTTTGAAAAAAGCCTACAATGATCGAAACCAAAAATGCTTTAAATTGCATTTTAAAACATATCTAGGCATTATAAATGATAAAGAATGCTAATATAGATATAAAATCGATATTTTTTTTGAAAAAAGCCTACTATGATCAAAACCAAAAATGCTTTAAATTGCATTTTAAAACACATCTAGGCATTATAAATGATAAAGAATGCTAATATAGATATAAAATCGATAATTTTTTTTGAAAATAGCCTACAATGATCGAAAACAAAAATGCTTTAAATTGCATTTTAAAACATATCTAGGCATTATAAATGATAAAGAATGCTAATATAGATATAAAATCGATAATTTTTTTTGAAAAAAGCCTACTATGATCAAAACCAAAAATGCTTTAAATTGCATTTTAAAACACATCTAGGCATTATAAATGATAAAGAATGCTAATATAGATATAAAATCGATAATCTTTTTTGAAAAAAGCCTACAATGATCGAAACCAAAAATGCTTTAAATTGCATTTTAAAACATATCTAGGCATTATAAATGATAAAGAATGCTAATATAGATATAAAATCGATATTTTTTTTGAAAATAGCCTACTATGATCGAAACCAAAAATGCTTTAAATTGCATTTTAAAACACATCTAGGCATTATAAATGATAAAGAATGCTAATATAGATATAAAATCGATATTTTTTTTGAAAATAGCCTACTATGATCGAAAACAAAAATGCTTTAAATTGCATTTTAAAACATATCTAGGCATTATAAATGATAAAGAATGCTAATATAGATATAAAATCGATATTTTTTTTGAAAATAGCCTACTATGATCGAAACCAAAAATGCTTTAAATTGCATTTTAAAACATATCTAGGCATTATAAATGATAAAGAATGCTAATATAGATATAAAATCGATAATTTTTTTTGAAAAAAGACTACTATGATCAAAACCAAAAATGCTTTAAATTGCATTTTAAAACACATCTAGGCATTATAAATGATAAAGAATGCTAATATAGATATAAAATCGATAATTTTTTTTGAAAATAGCCTACAATGATCGAAAACAAAAATGCTTTAAATTGCATTTTAAAACATATCTAGGCATTATAAATGATAAAGAATGCTAATATAGATATAATAAAATACTATAAAAAAAAACTTTTTTAAAAAAGCACGCTTTTATTTTCGATTCCAGTGCACTAAAAAGGAGAAAATAATTTATTTCTGAGAACTCAAATTTGATACAAAATTTTATGACTAAAAATAAAAGCGTGGGGCGCTCTTGCATATATCCCAAAATCTTGAATTTGTGTCAATTAAAAATCATCCATATATGTTTGCACAAGCATTAGGTTTGTGAATATATTATAGAAAATCTAGAGATGGTTAAAATTGAACGCCCCACGCTTTTACTTTTAGTCATAAAATTTTGTATCAAATTTGAGTTCTCAGAAAAAAATTATTTTCTCCTTTTTAGTGCACTGGAATCGAAAATAAAAGCGTGCTTTTTTAAAAAAGTTTTTTTTTATAGTATTTTATTTTCTACTTTTAAGTCTTATCAAATCTGTAAATCGATTCAACTTCCAAAATTTGGAGCTTTTGTTTTATTACAACACTGACTTTATCAGACTTAATGAGGAGGTTACAGTTTTTAGATTACATGAAGTATTAGTCTTCACTTCGTTTAACTCCGCTTCGTTCAATTGTTTATAGATTACAGTAAGTTTATAGGTTACAGGTGTGTTAAACTCGAATTCGTTGCACTTTCCAGTTTTACAAGATTACCAGTTTTAAATGGGTAATTTGTAAAGACTATCAAAATTTTTTATTCGTATTAAATTATTTAAGTCATACCTGAAAACACACGAAACTCTTTTAAAAATGTCCTTACTTCAATTAAATTTTGTATTTATCCGTACCATTCCTACTACATAACGTGTGGATAACATAAAGATGCAAATCACATCTATATGTAACGTATTTATAACGGATTTTTCGAATTTAAATTCAATGAATGTCATTCATATGTTATGCAACATTACGTTAAGCCGTTAATAAATAGAAGTCAATTTAATTAAATTGGTGAAGTGTTAAAAATATTAGAATACATTAAAAACAGCATAAGTTTATGCTCAAATTATGTGTGCTAAATGCACATCGCATATTGATAGTTATTTTGCATTAATTCGTAACGGACTTGTAATTAACGGTTTTTTTGAAAATTCAAATTTTCACTTACGGATATTCATGAAAAAATTACTTGTCAATTTTTCATCCTCCTAGAAAATCTTCAGCTTCTCCAATTTATAGTATAATTAATAATTAGTAATAATAATTAAACTATAATGAATCATATAAATGACTTTTGAGCATCACAAGTATAATATTTTAAACAAATCAAAATTTCATATCATTGACATTGGATTTTTTTTCCCATATAAAAAAGTTTTACTTAAATTTTACTATAATTAAGCATTTGTGTGGTTCTAAAGTGTTAAAATATTGTATTGTCACCGGGAATACGTGTGTATAAAAAATTTGAGCTCGATTGGAGCAATAGAAGTGGTCGAAAAATCAATTACAAGATTTGACGCAAATATACAAACAGTGTGAGTTAAATAAAAGCGTGTAATAAAATAATAATAAAATAATAATAAAATCGATATAATTTTTTTAAAAATAGCCTAATATGATTGAAACCAAAAATGCTTTAAATTGCATTTTTAAACACATCTAGGTATTATAAATGATAAAGAATGCTAATATAGATATAAAATCGATATAATTTTTTTAAAAATAGCCTACTATGATTGAAACCAAAAATGCTCTCAATTGCATTTTTAAACACATCTAGGTATTATAAATGATAAAGAATGCTAATATAGATATAAAATCGTTAATTTTTTTTGAAAACAGCCTACTATGATCGAAACCAAAAATGCTTTAAATTGCATTTTAAAACATATCTAGGCATTATAAATGATAAAGAATGCTAATATAGATATAAAATCGTTAATTTTTTTTGAAAACAGCCTACTATGATCGAAACCAAAAATGCTTTAAATTGCATTTTAAAACATATCTAGGCATTATAAATGATAAAGAATGCTAATATAGATATAAAATCGTTAATTTTTTTTGAAAACAGCCTACTATGATCGAAACCAAAAATGCTTTAAATTGCATTTTAAAACATATCTAGGCATTATAAATGATAAAGAATGCTAATATAGATATAAAATCGATAATTTTTTTTGAAAATAGCCTACAATGATCGAAAACAAAAATGCTTTAAATTGCATTTTAAAACATATTTAGGCATTATAAATGATAAAGAATGCTAATATAGATATAAAATCGATAATTTTTTTTTGAAAAAAGCCTACAATGATCGAAAACAAAAATGCTTTAAATTGCATTTTAAAACATATCTAGGCATTATAAATGATAAAGAATGCTAATATAGATATAAAATCGATAATTTTTTTTGAAAATAGCCTACTATGATCGAAACCAAAAATGCTTTAAATTGCATTTTAAAACATATCTAGGCATTATAAATGATAAAGAATGCTAATAAAGATATAAAATCGTTAATTTTTTTTGAAAATAGCCTACTTTGATCGAAACCAAAAATGCTTTAAATTGCATTTTAAAACATATCTAGGCATTATAAATGATAAAGAATGCTAATATAGATATAAAATCGATATTTTTTTTGAAATTAGCCTACTATGATCGAAACCAAAAATGCTTAAAATTGCATTTTAAAACATATCTAGGCATTATAAATGATAAAGAATGCTAATATAGATATAAAATCGATAATTTTTTTTTTGAAAATAGCCTACTATGATCGAAACAAAAAATGCTTTAAATTGCATTTTAAAACATATCTAGGCATTATAAATGATAAAGAATGCTAATATAGATATAATAAAATACTATAAAAAAAAACTTTTTTAAAAAAGCACGCTTTTATTTTCGATTCCAGTGCACTAAAAAGGAGAAAATAATTTATTTCTGAGAACTCAAATTTGATACAAAATTTTATGACTAAAAATAAAAGCGTGGGGCGCTCTTGCATATATCCCAAAATCTTGAATTTGTGTCAATTAAAAATCATCCATATATGTTTGCACAAGCATTAGGTTTGTGAATATATTATAGAAAATCTAGAGATGGTTAAAATTGAACGCCCCACGCTTTTACTTTTAGTCATAAAATTTTGTATCAAATTTGAGTTCTCAGAAAAAAATTATTTTCTCCTTTTTAGTGCACTGGAATCGAAAATAAAAGCGTGCTTTTTTAAAAAAGTTTTTTTTTATAGTATTTTATTTTCTACTTTTAAGTCTTATCAAATCTGTAAATCGATTCAACTTCCAAAATTTGGAGCTTTTGTTTTATTACAACACTGACTTTATCAGACTTAATGAGGAGGTTACAGTTTTTAGATTACATGAAGTATTAGTCTTCACTTCGTTTAACTCCGCTTCGTTCAATTGTTCATAGATTACAGTAAGTTTATAGGTTACAGGTGTGTTAAACTCGAATTCGTTGCACTTTCCAGTTTTACAAGATTACCAGTTTTAAATGGGTAATTTGTAAAGACTATCAAAATTTTTTATTCGTATTAAATTATTTAAGTCATACCTGAAAACACACGAAACTCTTTTAAAAATGTCCTTACTTCAATTAAATTTTGTATTTATCCGTACCATTCCTACTACATAACGTGTGGATAACATAAAGATGCAAATCACATCTATATGTAACGTATTTATAACGGATTTTTCAAATTTAAATTCAATGAATGTCATTCATATGTTATGCAACATTACGTTAAGCCGTTAATAAATAGAAGTCAATTTAATTAAATTGGTGAAGTGTTAAAATATTAGAATACATTAAAAACAGCATAAGTTTATGCTCGAATTATGTGTGCTAAATGCACATCGCATATTGATAGTTATTTTGCATTAATTCGTAACGGACTTGTAATTAACGGTTTTTTTGAAAATTCAAATTTTCACTTACGGATATTCATGAAAAAATTACTTGTCAATTTTTCATCCTCCTAGAAAATCTTCAGCTTCTCCAATTTATAGTATAATTAATAATTAGTAATAATAATTAAACTATAATGAATCATATAAATGACTTTTGAGCATCACAAGTATAATATTTTAAACAAATCAAAATTTCATATCATTGACATTGGATTTTTTTCCCATATAAAAAAGTTTTACTTAAATTTTACTATAATTAAGCATTTGTGTGGTTCTAAAGTGTTAAAATATTGTATTGTCACCGGGAATACGTGTGTATAAAAAATTTGAGCTCGATTGGAGCAATAGAAGTGGTCGAAAAATCAATTACAAGATTTGACGCAAATATACAAACAGTGTGAGTTAAATAAAAGCGTGTAATAAAATAATAATAAAATAATAATAAAATCGATATAATTTTTTTAAAAATAGCCTAATATGATTGAAACCAAAAATGCTTTAAATTGCATTTTTAAACACATCTAGGTATTATAAATGATAAAGAATGCTAATATAGATATAAAATCGATATAATTTTTTAAAAATAGCCTACTATGATTGAAACCAAAAATGCTTTCAATTGCATTTTTAAACACATCTAGGTATTATAAATGATAAAGAATGCTAATATAGATATAAAATCGTTAATTTTTTTTGAAAACAGCCTACTATGATCGAAACCAAAAATGCTTTAAATTGCATTTTAAAACATATCTAGGCATTATAAATGATAAAGAATGCTAATATAGATATAAAATCGTTAATTTTTTTTGAAAACAGCCTACTATGATCGAAAC